AATAATTCATACAGATCTACTTGAAAGGCCTATTACCAGAAACACCAGCTGCAAGTAGATATTTGCTGCTAGTGTATGACTCCATCTCAAAGTATGTGATGGCACAACTACTGAAGGATAAAAGGATTGATACAGTTAATCAATGAATGGATGAAATAAGTAGTGTTGCAGTTTGGCCCACCAAGTTTCATCTTCAGTGATCTGGAAAAGAATTTGAGTCATGGTTATTACATAAGTTTTGCCAGCAACTCCAGATAACCAAGGTGAGGACCAGTATTGTCCACACTACGAGTAATAGGAGAGTGGAGTGAATAAACCGCACCCTTGGTTCCATGCTTAGACTCGTAGTCAGTGAAGAACAAGAAGACTAAGATACAAGACACCTTTTTACTCCTGGGGAGATTCTGTGCAAGCACAGAATTAATGTTCCCTGTAGATTTACACACACACAAACACAATAATTTATTCTGACAGGGATGTGAAGGGAAACAACAAGAGGGGTCACGCTGCAGTTACATGTTTCGCCCACCAGGGGCTGATGTGGTGCCAGAAAAGAGGGCAGCTGGCTCATCGGCCAGAGCAGCTGGCTGTAGAGAGGGAGGGGGGCAGAGGCTGCCTTTCTCACAGTGCCCTGCCTGCAGGGCCAGGTGAGGAGGCACAGGATATGAGGGGGACGGACAGAGCGGAGCATGTGGGGCAGCTGGGGGGGTAACACAGACTGGGGTACAGAAGGACTACTAGCAGTGGACAGGCTGGCGTGGGGGCATAGGCGCTATTGGGGTGACATTGACTGAGGGTGTAGGGCCATATGAGGATGGGGAAGAACGGGTGCAGGAACACATGGGGACAGGGACAGATGTGCCTGACTGAATGGGAGATGCGAGGGGTCAGCCAGGGTTTGCTGACCAATTCCTCCCCTCCCTCCTCTTCCCCCCCAAAAAAACAACCAACCAACCTGATGCATACTTCTGCCACCCACAACCAACAACCCCTCCAGGTTCAGTCCCAGCAATTACTTCCCTCTCCCTCAGCTCTTCTGTTATCCCTGAGTCCCCCAAGCCGTTGCACTGCTTCTGAGCAGCATGGGAAATACGGTTCTGAATTATAACACAAAGTTCTGTATTAATAAGCCTAGTAAGGAATCTGTTTGTCAAAAAAACATTTCCTGAATCTTTTTTGTTGTCTGTATTGTTATAGACATACTTGCTGACAGGTATTTTGAACTTAATTACCAAAATAATGAAACTGGTGTTATTTTGACAAATAAAATGTAAAATTATGAAGAATTTTTATATTTTTGGCACAGAATTTTTTATTTTTTGGTGCAGAATGCCCCCAAGAATACCTTTTGTCATCTTTGCGTATAACACCAGGCAGCTATGCATTACTCTCCCTATGAGATTATTTTTGAACTCCGTAAACACTTGCTTCCTTGTGAAGTGACGTTCAGGCAGCAAGAACCTGCAAGGCCCTTTGCACCTACACAGGTAGCAGTGTCATTTATTAGTGACCTGAAGGCAGCATTCCAAAAAATGGAGGAACAGATCAGTTGGAAGCAAACATGACAGGCACAAGATGCCAGAAAAAAAAAGAATTATGTGCCTGTCCCTGAAGAAGAGAAGATTTGGCTCTGCAACTGGAAAAAGCATCCAGAAAAAAAACTGCAGGACTGCCAATAGTTGTAATTCACACTTTTATAGAAATCAAAGGATTTATTGGAACCCTGCAAGTAATAACTCCAGCACACACAGGCAGGACTTAACTTCCTTCTAGTCCCTCCATCCTTCCCCCTTGAACAAAGACAACAACATAACATCAAAACAAAACAATTTAACACTAAAATAAAGATACAGCACCACATATTAGGGGAAGTGCTGTCTGCCCTGGTCATTGCAGTATATAATAGAAGAGAAACTAGGTGAAACTGTAGGCATTATTGTACCTCAGTAGGCAGCTCCTTACTCTAGCTGTACCCTAGGAAAATCAGTTGCTAGACCATAGTTCAGACCTAAGTTTCCCTGATAGGCTGGAAAGCTCCTGATTTCTGGAGCCTCTTTCCAATCACCTGCTCCTATCTTCTGCTGTTATTGGGAGAGCAATATTGGGAGAAAGTTGTATGGAGGAGTATATTATGTTGCTGTAGGTAGTGTCTTGGAGGACTGCTCTAGGACACTAATTCAGAGAGATTCCTAGGAGTCCTCTGAGACTTGACCCATAGAGCACCTACCTAGATCATAGGCCCAACCTGCCCTCACCATTAAGATATGGCAAGAGCACAAGGCAGTATTTTGGATAGAATGGTGGTACATTGGCAGCTATTTTTCTAATCATATTTTTATGACCATAGTGGATTGGGGACCAAGCTTTGTCCACAGATGCTGTGCCTCGTGTACATTGTGGAGACCTGGGAAAACAGGATTATGTAGGAATGAGGGGAGCCAGCGAGAGAGAGGATTAGGTGTGGGAAACTGAGGGAGAGCCAGAATGGGGGAGTTCAGTTGGCGTAAGCCAGGAAAAGAGGGAAGTAAGCTTATGTAAATGAGATAATGCCTATTTGCCAGGTGTGCAGATTAGCGTGTTTAAATCATTTGGGTTATATCTCCGGATTTACAGCCTTAGGAGGTGTACTATAATCTAACTAAACTAATACACCATAAAACTTGGCTGTTATGGCTATGTATTATGTTTTAACATGCTGTTACCAGAAATTATATTTGAGATACGATTATTTCTTTTGAACTGCAGAGTAGGCTCTTCAATATTTTTGTGTTTTTGTTAATTTGAAGGCTGTTTAGTACTAATTAAATAAAAGCATCTGTTTGAATATTAATCAGCATTCCAAACATAAAGTTTACTATTGTTTTTTGATCGTTGATATTTTGGGGGTATATTGTATGTCTGTTACCATATTCAAAACTTCCTTGTATTAATATTAAAAATGGTAAGAGGAAAAACATTGAGATGGAGTTCAACGGTTTGTCAATGTAAGTCTTTTATTGTTTGGTCATAATTCCAACTATAGTAATTAGACAATATGATACAAGTGATTCAGCATTTTATAGTATGTCCGTTTCTGTGGATCTGAGCTTTCAGGGCAATTCCTTTTACTTTGTTAGATTCGAGTGAGAATTGAAAAAGATCCAGAGCTGGGATTTAGTATATCAGGAGGAGTTGGTGGTAGAGGAAACCCATTCAGACCTGATGATGATGTGAGTATTTCATATATATGTACCTGTTTAAAACATCTTTTGTCTTTAAAACAACTCTTAAAATAGGTTTGTTTTACATGCTTCACTTTAAAGTATAATAAATGACCTAGCACATATTACCTCTTTGTTGCACTAAACAGTATCTCATACATACTTGTGAGGTTTTTAATTGGAACCAAGTGTATTTAGAGCAAAACAATACTCAGCATTTATATAGTACTTTTCATCTTCAAAACACTAAGAGATTTATTAAATGACAAAACTGAAGGTGAAAGGTTAAGTGACTTGTCTACAGGCATGGAGTCAGTGATGGGTAACATTAGAACTCAAGCTTTCAGTCTTTTCCAATCCACTATACCACACTGCCTTTCCAAATAGTGTTGACTGGAACAAAGAGGTTATCTCCAGTATTTTTTCCCCTCTTAAGTGTTGTGTCACTTCCCATCCATATAACAGATGGAAAGAGGCAGATGGAATTAATCTCTCCATGACCATTTCTTTTATTTTTTCAACTACCGGTAACAATATTATCATTAGTATTATTATTATTTATAAAATATCCAAATGTGCTATTGTTTATTTTTAGGTGCTATAAAATAAACAATAAAAGTGTGCTAAGCACTTCACGGGTATATTAGAGAATCCCCTACCTCAAAGAGCTTAGAATCTAAGTATACAAAAAATAAGCAAGGGATGTGGGAAGGGAAGCAAACATACGAGCAAGTGATTTGAGATAGTGTTTGAAATGCATTTTGTTGTCCAATTCTTGTAGGGTGTTCTTTTCCTTTCATTTCCTTCCCTTATTGATTCTATTCTATTTTCTCTCCAACCCATGCCCATTTGCTCACTACCTAGCTCTAGCCCTACCATCTCACCTCCACTGATTTAATCCTTGGATATATTCAGTCCTTGCCTGTTAGCTAACTCCTTCCCAGTCACACACAAGGTGCTCCAGCTCCTCCCATATTTTCCTCACAAATTAGTCTCATAATGCCACACGAAATAATTTATTTGCCTGTGATTGCTTCTTATACAGTAAGTTCTGTGGGGCTTGCAGTTTGTGTTTTTGTAAAGCTAAAATTGATTGTGTTTACTGTAGGGTTGTGGGGGAGGGAGACTGGCTTACAAAAGTGAGGGAACTGAAGAGTGGAAGGTGAGACTTGTAATAAAGTTGGAGTTTTGTGCAGGAGGGAGGCTATGAAAATTGAGATAGAAAGGGATGAAAGTAGTTTGGCAAAATTACAGTACATGAAAGTTAGTGGTGGGGACAATCTAGGTTGGGTGAATGGTAGGATGTTAGAAACGTCAAGCATTATAAACAAGATAACAATGAATTATGGAGTTTAAAATTACAATGTCTCTTAAAGGGAAAAGGATTTAGCCTAGAGCCCTTACATCCAGTGTCGGTACTACATTTTGACACGTATTATATCTGGCAATTTAAACAGAGGGGTTAACTTAAAATTCAGATGGAGAAATATTTTCCCTTCAGTGTTCCAATTAATGCAATTCTTCTGTCTTTAATCTCTGAAAAGATTTTAATAATAAAAGCCAATGAACCTATTATTTTTCAGTATTTCACATTCTCTTCTGTTTAGTGTGGAAAAATCAAAGAATATCTTCAGTTACAATGGCTTCAAGTTACTCCAATATCTATTAAATGGGCTCAGTCAGAATTCTTTTTTTCCGCCCTATTTGTTTTTACAGGGTATATTTGTAACCAGAGTGCAGCCTGAAGGACCAGCATCTAAATTGTTGCAGCCTGGAGATAAAATAATTCAGGTACTGTAATTGTAATCATTCTGTTTAATATACATAGTCCTTGTTTGTATGTTTGTTCAGTCAGTCAGTGCCTTTCATTTTTATGGCTAGTAGTGGCAGACTACATTCAAGTTTAGTACTTACATTCTTTACATAGTTTTATCAATATCTCTTCCAAAAGAAGTCTTAGAAAACCAGTTATACTCTGTTACGTTTGAGTATTTTTCAGATATATTAGTATCACAATTACAGTGCAGCCTAAAAACAAATAATTTACAAAAGTAAAAGCATTTTGATAGACAACATAAGTTACCTAACATAAAATAAAGCCACCCAGAATACAAACTTGGACTTGAGATTGAGCCGCTCCAGCTAAATGATTGCCTGCATTTGAGTGAGGCTTAAATAGTTCTTGCAAATTAGTTCCTCCCACCAGTGCTGGGAAATGTGACTGGCTTTGGATCTTAAAGGGTGCAAGTACTTTTCCATTATAAGTGCAGAAATCTTTATAGTTGTTATTTATACAGTAGGGTTTTGTGTGTGTGTGTGTGTGTGTGTTTGTAAACATACATAACCGTTTATTAAGACACATGGGAGATATGTGAATTACTGTTCTGTATTTTGTAAAATCGAATATGTGCGGAGGGTAGCCTTCTGTTGGAATGGATTGTTATTCCTGATATTTGTTTGATAGTTCAGTCGTTAAATTTTCCCGTTGTTGTACTGGCTATATGTGGGTTGGTTTTTATGAAGGAATTCATTCTCTGAAAAAGAGCAAAGAGAAAATGTCTGGTGAATGTGCTGAGGTAGTAATTACAGGTTCTTTCATTTTTCAGAATTACTAGGCCATATTTTGCTCTGACAGGTTTTGCTATTCATGATGATTCTATTTTTCTCATGTAAATCATAAAGCAGGATCTGGCAGTGGCAGAATGGAAAACCTTTCCTATACGGCCACAGTGCCAGTTACACAACTTTTGTATTTGTGTCTCTTAGTGAAGCTTCCCTGAAGCTGCTAAAGAGAGAATCCATAGTTGTACACAAATCTGCTAATCGCACCTTTGTACACTTTACAACCTCTGTGTTTCTAAAGCACAAAAGCATCTCCGTGTTTGGATGTCTTTAGCCCTGGTCTGGATACAAAGGATGGTCTCAGAAGGTTATGGCTCTCTCAGGAAAACATGCATTAAATGTATGTCATAATGTAAAATTTAGGCCTGACTGGTGGCTATATAGGTTTTTTGTATGCGCTTTGAATATCCGTAGGAAGGTTAAGATCTGAAATTGGTCCTGTACAGCCGTGGTTCTCAACCAGGAGTATGTGTACCCCTTGGGGTGCTCAGAGCTCTTCCAGGGGGTATAGCAACTCATTTAGATATTTGCCTAGTTTTACAACAGGCTACATAAAAAGCACTAGCGAAGTCAGAACAAACTAAAATTTCATAGACAATTATTTGTTTATAGTGGTCTGTATACTATACACTGAAGTGTAAGTACAATGTTTATATTCCAATTTATTTTATAATTATATGGTAAAAATGAGAAAGTAAGCAATTTTTCAGTAACTGTGCTGTGACACTTTTATATTTGATTGTTAGTTTTTAAGTGAGGTGAAACTTGGGGGTACACAAGACAAATCAGACTCTTGAAAGGGGTACAGTAGTCTGGAAAGGTTGAGAGCACTACTGTCCAGTTCTTGGCTTATGAGTAGTTACCCAGCTTTTGCTCTTCACAATGGAAGTCTTGCTGCAGACCACACTCACCTAAGGCGTTAGGTGCAGGGGCGGGATTTGGAGTAACATTTTAAACACAATATAGCTGCCATGCATCTTATTTACATGACTCTCGTTTAATTTTCTAACTCTTGCCCACTCTCCTACTCTACCTCAGTTCCACCCATTTTGAATGCTGCGCAATTCTCCTTATTTGGCTGTGGTAGTAAAAAGTAGCGAGCCTTGTTCAGCTCAAACCTACAGATCTGTTTGGACTGTTTTTATCAAAGATTAAGCTAAATTCTAGGTATGACTGACAGAGTAGCAGTCAAAAATTGGTTTTAAATCTCCACTTTAATGGCTTTGTTATGCCAGTAACATAGCAGCAATGCTTTCTGAAGCTGTCCAGGGTGACGTGTCTAAATACTACTTGTCTTTATGGTGTTCTTCTTTTGGTGACATCATGATGAAGTCTCTTTTTTATTAAACAATTCACTACTTATTACAGTAAAAGCTTTATCATCAGGCATGTTGGAGGAATACAGGGTGCCAGTTAGTCAAAAATTCCGGTTAATGAAGAGTTATACTTACCAATGGAGGGAGGGAGTTTGAGTGCAGGAGGGGGCTGGAGGTTGGGGTGCAGGAGGGGTTTTGGGGTGCCAGATCTGGGTGGCGCTTACCTTGGGCGGCTCCCCGCAAGCAGCAATATGTCCCTGCTGCTTCTAGGCTGAGGCGTAGCCAGGCAGCTCTGCACGCTGCCACTGCCTGCAGGCGCTGTCCCCGCAGCTCCCATTGGCTGCGATTCCTGGCCAATGGGAGCTGCGGCGCCAGCACATGGGGCAGGGGCAGCGCACTGAGTCCCCGTAACTGTTCCTCCGCCTAGGAGCAGCAAGAATATGTTGCCGCTTCTAGGGAGCCATGCGGAGTCAGGTAGGGAGCCTGCCGGCTCTGTGCCAACTGGACTTTTAATGGATATCAGAAAGACTAGTTTCTAGAGCTTTCTGGTTGGTAAAGTGCCGGATAACACAGCTTTTACTCTATTAATCATGAATGATATGGTAGAAGAAAATGGAGGTGCAGCTAATAAATTTGCAGATGGCTGGGTAGATCCTACAGAGTTGCTTGCTTGCATGATTCTGATATCACCGCTAAGAGGTAATCTTTCATTTAGTGAACACTGCTGCTGCTATACTGATGAGGACCGAGAGTCCCCCTAGATTTGAACAAGGAGTCAGCTATTGGATTTGTTGAAAGGGCAGAGCCCATGGAATAATAGAGGTTGATGCCCCCAGAAAAAATGTAGTTGCTGGAAATGAAGGACAAATCCCAAACAAGTGGGTGGCTCCTGAAGTATTGCAGAAGACTCAGAGCTCTGAGGGTAGACATAGGACCTAATTTGGCTGCCTGAAAAATTTATATGGGCTGACTCCTGTCGAAAAATTAGTATCTTGAGCATCAGTGGGTGTAAAATCCTCCCTCTCCTCTTTTAGAAATAAACGTCCGCCTTTAATAGACTTAATCCGCAATACACCACACTTCTAGATTCCAGAACTGTGGTGCACAATAGTCATTATACTCAGTGCATATATACAGTAACTCCTTGCTTAGTGATGTTCTTCCAAATCCAATTTCCCCATAAGAATTAATGGAAGGGGGGGCTAGGTTCCAGGGATTTTTTTTTTGCCAGACAGAAGAGATTATATACATATACAGTACAAGTTTTAAACAAACAATTTAATACTGTACACAGAAATGATGATTGTGAAGCTTGGTTGAGGTGATGGAGTCAGAGGGTGAAAGAGGGTGGATCGTCCGGTTGCTCCTCTTGCTGTTTTTCCCAAAGTGCTGGGGGGTGCTCAACCCCAGGCCCACCCCCCGCTCTGCCCTTTCCCCCAGGGCCCCAACCCTGCCCCACCTCTTCCCGCCCCTGCTTCCCCTCTCCCCCCAGCCTTCTGAAGGCCACGGCGTTCAGGAGGCGGGGTGGGGGGTGGCGGTACAGCGCACAGCCTCATCTCCCTCCACAGGCCTCCCGCCTGCAGCAATCAGCTGTTTTGGGGTGTTCAGGAGGCTCGGAGGGGGGAGGGAGAGAGGGCGGTGGGAGCTGCTGATCTGCAGGGCTGCTGGCGGGCGGGAGGTGCTGGGGTCGGGTGGAGGGGAGCTGATAAGGGAGCTGCTGGCCAACCCTGGATCTAAGCCCCCATGGCCAAACAACATTATAAGCAAACATTGCCCAACTTTAAATGAGTATGTTCTCTAATAGACCAGCGATGTAACAATGAAACAACATTAACCGGGATGACATTAAGTGAGGAGTTACTGTACTATATTCACTTTTTCTTTGTGGGAGAGGGCACCTGTGTTCCATTTATTAGCTATGTCTAGTGCAGTCATATGAAGTCAAATAGAGATGGGATTTATATGCTTTTTCAGTTCTGGTTCCTCCATTTGGGGTAGCTGAAAATGTGTCCCTGTCGCCAATCTTTGGAGCAAAATTCTTCCACAAACACTTAAACATGCTGATCAGTTCACTTCCCTATCGTATAATACAGAATGTTTCTACCACACCATGAACAATCTAATAATGTGAAAACCTATAGAGTTTTATTGCTAAAATTAAAGACAACTTGCTATTTGTTAAAACTCAAGTTACAAATAACATGTCCTGGGGACATTATTAATAAAATATAATTTCCTTCTTAGGCTAATGGATACAGCTTCATCAATATTGATCATGGACAAGCAGTGTCCTTGCTGAAGACTTTTCAGAACACAGTGGAACTCATAATTGTGCGAGAGGTTTCTTCATAAATACTGTGGGGGGAAAAGCCAGCAAGATTCATCAAAGGACTTGTGGGAAACTGAGTATTTTGATTATTTTTATATATGAAAGGAACTTGAAAAATTATGATCAAAATTTGTACAGTAATGAAATATTGAACTTGTGGTTATGGGGAAGAACCACTGTATAGAACATACAGGAAACCATTTTTGAAATGCATATGGTGAATAACCCTGGTTACATTTTTAAGCATTATAACAATCAAGAATCACTCCTCCAAGAACAGACCTGTGTTGTTTTTGTACAGATGGTAGGTTTATTTTTGGATAATTCATACACATTATTAAACTTTGTGCAAGGCTGTGAGAAGCCTCAGCTGTAGCCAGTGGACAGATGGCAGGGCTGTCTGTCCTGTAGCTGTTTACTGCCTTTATTTTTATTCACTGGGTATTAATGTGTTATGCTGAAACCACTTCTCTAGATATGGGCAAGAGATTTGAAATGTTGGCTTTGCTATGTGCACATTGTATAGATGAATGGGTAGATGGAAGTTGGTGCTGGTTGGGTTAATTTAAAGGCCTAGTGAAGAACTATTTGCTATCAGTATCTGGAATCAAGAAAGAAGGAAACATTTGGTTAGTCTGGGAGTGTACGTCTACCAATAGAATAACGCAATAAAAGCATAATGTCTTTTTAGGAAGACTATAATTACATTATTGTGAGCTCTTCAGGATTTTTTCTTATCATCATCATCGACTATCCATTTGCTATGTGTGATTCAAGTTTATTTTTTTTATTTGCATACACAATTTTTTTCAACTGTACTGTGGAGATGTGCCCAGAGGTTTTTCTCTGCCATGGAAATCCCCGATTTTGTGCAAATGGTGATACTTCTATCTTCTTTGTAATAAGTACTCAATTTTAAACTTATTTATAGATTTTTTTTAAAAGGCCAGTTTTTAAGATTGTGTTGCCTGTAAAACCCACAAAACACACACACAGTAAATGGGTTAGGAAAGAAGGATTAGGAGAGTCATCTTGATTTTTGTTTGGCCTTGCATTGCCTTGTTAAACTAAAAGGAAACAATACGCATGGAGCTAGGTAACCAAAGCAAGTTTGTGAAACTGTTGAACAGTGACGGATAATTGCTAAGGGTAACTGTAGAGCAAAAGGACGGGGTACTTGGAACCCACCAGTTTGTAACGATATTTCTTAAAGGGCTGTTCCTACAGGAAACATTAAATGTGAACTAGACACTTCAGAGTCATTAAA